TCCCATGCAATTATATTAAATAAGGCATTGAAGATTGAAAAACGATCTATTCGGATACTGCAGTGTTTAAAAAGCATAAACAACAGGCACGTGCACAGATAGACCCCTAGTGATGCTCAAGCACCTGTCCTTTTGCTCTGGACAAGAAAAGTGCCCCTTCTGCTTGAATAATTATTTTCTTCATTCAGCAATATGGAACAATACAAATTACTCTCTCGGTCATCAATTCCCCCCCAAATATACATTTGGCGCCGGTGAGAACATTACGTCGCAACTGAACAAACAAAAAACCTGAAAATCCATGATTTCAAAGCCGTAACCAGCTGTTTACTGACGTTTGTCATGTTTAATAAGGAGAGAGGACGAGAGATACAAGCAGACAGTTTTACTGTTCTACAAATTAGACAAGTTCACTGGTAATTCAATTATTGAAATGAAAGCTACATGACAGTCTGGTGAGACATATTATTGTATATTATTAGTCTAATGCTGCTTATGCTTCAACTCAGTCAGTTAACAGTAAAACAAAACATGTGTGTGTTGTCAGCTTTATAGATATTATGTGAGTCACTCTTGTTTTTCATGCACAACATTGATTTATCTTATTTACAAAATTTGCAGAATAATGCAAAGAAAAGAGAGACTCCAAAAGCAGACGGACAGGGACCTGCAGCAGCGCGACTGTTGTCATTTCAGCTTTTAGCTCGGTGGCGATCGCCTGAAAAAAAAAGACTGTAAACGCTGCAAGTAACCGGTTCTGGGCAATACGACCTTTTAACTAAAGAGGGCATTAATGTGGACGTCATGAGCGATGTGAATGAATGAGATGGTGCGACATCTTGCAAGGAGACCTGAGATGTTTTTCAGACGACGCACAAATGAATGTCGATCTACAAGCTGACCATCAACCAACTTCTCGTGCTCGGCCAACAAACGTGATGTTTACAATGCTGTGTGGCTGTTGCTATGCACTATTTTCTCTAGACTACGGAAATAAATGTGATACACAACGTATTGTGGCTAAAACTGTGTTCTGCTGAAAGGCAGCTTTTAACTTCCTATTTATAGTAACAACACCCTCGAACTGTAACATTATTGATGATAAAGTACAGCCTCTCATAGCTAATTGCTTAAGTACAACACGGCCTTGTTTTGTCTGTTGATTCCTGTTATTCATTTATTTATTTAATTTGAGTTAGTTTGTTAACAAAAATAAATATATAAAGTTGAAAAAATCCTACTTTTTTAAATTTAATTATTTATTTATTTCAGGAAACATTTCGGCGATGGGTGCCCTTTTGTTTTGGTCTGAGCACCCGCCCCCCAAATGTCTGTGCACGTGCCCGTTGAACATTGTGAGTCGGTGGTTTAAAAGGGATGAATGAAGAACTTGTCACGGCCGTGTTCTTTCGAAAACAGAACAGGTGTACTATCCACATTACAATTCACCCTGTGCGATACATGAAAGAAGTAACGGCTCAGAGTATTTTACATCAGATGTATATTTGCCATGTGGCTTCAAGTGTATGGTCCCTGTGACACAAAAACCTACTTTCCTAGTCCACAAGTGTTGAATATTTCAAAGCTCTCCTTATGAGCTGAGCAGAGAGGAAGATCGAGAGCTACGAGCAGAGTACTGAATTTCAGGGTAAGCGCTCATTGAGAATGAGGGTTTACAAACAAAGAATTTACTAAATCCCTTGTCTACTTTCTGTACCCAGAGTCAAAACTAAACATGGAGAAGCAGCGTTGGGTTTTTCCCAACCCAGAAAGCTGCAGGTCTGCGGATCCCTTCGGCTCCTTTGAATCCAGATTAAAATACTTTTCTGTTTGCTGCTGCCTTTTACTCACCATTTCTGAAATTCAGAATTCTTAAACTACACTGCGAATTTTAATCGATTTTTATTTTTTTCCACGTCTTTTTTTAAATATTTTTAATGACTGTTTTTCTTTTACGTTTTAATCAATGTTTTCAACCGTTTTAAAATATCCTTGCTTGATGTTGTGGTTTTATATGACTTTGACACACTTTGAATTGCCTTGTTGTTGAAATGTGCTGTACACATAAAAATGACTGTTTAACCAAAATATACATGTCTATTTTTTTTGAATGAATGTAAAAATACGTACATTATGTACAAACTAATTCCATAATCATGGGTTGAGTACAAGCGCTCTGAAGTGTCACACTGACACTATTCAAATCCCCACAGACAGACCCCTCAAGCGAGTAACGTTAAATATAGAAAACCAAGCCAATGCGTTTGTGCATGTGCGACGTTAGCCTACGTTTAAACGTTAGTTCTATAAACGTATATGTGGCAACGCGTCACTCACCATGTAGGAGAGTCTGCGTTGGATCCTGCGCGTTGCTTCTTTCTAGCTGGGCCTTTCCTGTCAAACGACTTTTCTCTCCGTCAAAACGCTAGGGCAGCTTTGGGGGATGTTACCCAGAAAAGTTTTCCAACCGGTCGGTCCCGCAAAGATGTTGTGTAAAGTGGCCGTTATGTTCTGGTTAGCTACGATGCGCCAAACGGGCCAGACCGTCTGCGCAGCGTCATAGAAGCAGGGCGGCGGAATGGCGCAGTTATGCTAACAGATAGCCGTCAACATGACACGCTAACAAGGCTACGTACCCCTCGCGACACCCGCTGGGTTTCTTCCCGTCCTTGTCTGGACCCGTGCGGAGAAGTTTAGAGTTTTTCAGATGCGGCAACGTCGCTAGCTGCGTCCTCCATGCAGGTGGTTTAGACCAAGGGTCAAAGGTCACGAGACTTAGCTGTCGGCTAATAAATATAAGCTAATTAGTCCAGGCGCAGTGCGTCCATCGTTACCTTTCTTCCTCTGTTGACACCTGGCTCGGATAATGAACCACTTTCAAATTCACATCTGTGAACAAAGGTATCGAAACCGCTGCAGATGGAATAAAACATAAGCCTTAAACGGAATAGGAAACCAGGGCTCTCAAGTGCCGCGCATCGAGCGTGAAAGTCACTCATTTCGGGCTCCAGTCACGCACTCGCGCCACACATCCAATTTCTCACATTAAAGAAAATCCGAGCCGCGTTGGTTACTCTCTCTCTCTCTCTCTCTCCCCCCCCACCCCCACCCAAGGTTTCTTAAAAAGTTGAGAGCCCTGGGAAACTAAAGAAGCAAAAGTCCTATACATTTCTATCCGAGCTTAAAAGTTATGTTAAATAGGTTTAAAATGGTATTTTCTCATGAAGTTTCATAAATTTGTATCTAAATTAGCTTTAAGAGTTGTATAAACTCACCTATTTATCCATGACGTGCAGGTGTGTGAGTTTGATTTAAAATATCTGTTGGGTTCATAAAGTGTTTATGCAGCACATAAAGGCATCATCAATACTGCAAGTGCAAAATAATGCAATAAACTTGCATGCCTAAAAATGCACACATTAACGCTTTTAGAGATTGCCGGCCTTTGTGTTGTGATTTTAAGTGTTTGTTCTTTGTAATACTTGATTAAAAAAGCATGTCTAATCTGTTCTAATGCCCTCTCTCATCTTAATCCTATTTTATCACACATCACATCATCATCTCTCATCTCAGTTAACCCCAAATCCTTCCTTACAACATCCAGTCTTATCCTTTTTTCCATTAATTTCCTTTCATCACCCATCATATCATGCCATCTTTTCTTAATTATTCCACGCCTAACTTGATTACATACCACAGTAAGATCATACTGTAATATTTGATTGCACATACACACAGCAACAACAATTGATAACAACTGACTGTACTGAAAAACTAAGATGATGTTGTCACTGTTTATCCATACGCTCCTCTTAGGAGGAAAATCTTAACAAATGAAAAACAGAACCTTGGGAATCCATGGCAATAAAAGGACATAACTAGTGGCACACACAGAATGTCAGACTTTATTTGGCAAAGTCAGATCTCTGCAAATTATGTAACTGGTGGTAAGTGCTGATGAAGCTGCAGGATCACTATCAATGAAGTCATTAATACATGCTTTACCTCTTTAGCTGAGTGCATTGCTCTACAACTTGAGAGGGGAGAAATGTATGCCACTCTGCTAAATCAATTCTAGACAGCTATCTGAATGATGCTAGGAAAAGCAGTCCTAACACTTCAAGAGTGGTGTGATGAAAAGCTTTGCAATAACAGAAAGAGAAACTGAAACAGAAGACACTTAGGGACACGTTATTTCTGTTGTGGGCACTGTTGACAGCCGATCTGAAAATAACACAGTATCATTGACTACTACCATCAAGGGAACAAGGTGTGGGACGAGACATACCCAAGCTTTTGTTTACTTTAATTACTCACATTAGACAGCATTTTCCACAAGATTTGAAAGGTTTTTTCTCAGACCTTTAAGGCTGTATGTCATTGTGAATGAATCATATACAAATTGTCCCATGGGTACTGCTCCTAATAGGGCACCGTGACTCAGCATGTTGAGTTGTGTGGAAACATATCAGCCAGTCTCCAACTCTGATAGGGGGGGAGGCTGCAAACTGGCCACTTTTAATGAAAGGGAAAACAAATTGTTCAGCAATCATGGGCCATTTGTACTGGCAAAGGGCACTATGATAGATGGACAGTGAGGCTATAAGAAGGAAAAGCAGGTGAGCAGGCAAAAGGATGCTGGCATCAGACCAAATAGCCTATGAGAGATTCAATCAAGGAGTCCATAATCTGCACAGACCAAAACGATAACACGAGGGGACTGTGGTGGTAACATAATAACAAATCCCGGCAGGTTCTGGTGTAAGATTTGCACATGCACTGCATGGCGATGGTTGGTCACATGGCCCATACATACAGGATGGATGGAGTAAGGAAAGCATTGGACCATCCGATTAATGAGTGCATCACATGATACGGGCCGTGAGCGCGTCGCAGCACCACCATCATTAAACGTGTCTTCTTGATTTGATATAGCCCCCCCTATTAATTTTTGCGACAGAAGCTTGCTAATCTCTTTTACTACATCGGTCCTTACTCACAGAATCGCTCGCGTTTTTACGCAGCTGCTGCTCCTCCTCCTCCTCCTTCTTCTGCTCCTCTCCCACCAGCGCGCCCGTGTTCACCACCAGTTTCTCAAAGCACGCCGATCCCAGCGAAGAGCTCTTCTGCTGGCACACAAGCATCAGCTGGGACACCGGGAGTTTTGCGCTCCCGTGTGCCGTCGTCGCCAGCTCGGGTTTGCTTCCCGTGGCTCCAGAAGCGGCGCCGAGGGGTTGCAGGTGCTGCCCGTCGCTGCTGGTGCCGGGGACTGCGTCGCCCCCATGGGACTTGTTATCTCCTTCAAAAGAATCCGGCGGAGAGGAGCTTAGATTCGGCTGAGACGAGGAAAACACCCGGTCCAAGTGTTTCTTTTTCCTCTTAAACATCCATAGCCCCGATTCCTTTTTGCTGCCCTCCGCGCCCCCGGCACCGCGGCGCTCCGATCCCAGTTTCGGACTCAGCCATGGTTTAGTTTTCTCCTGGAAATTCTTCCACATCCTCCGCTGGTAGGACAGAGATCCCGGTCCTCTGGCGTTGCCCTCGTCCTTCGGTGATTTGTGCTCCATAGTGCCCGCGCAGCAGCCGGCCAGCCTGAGCTCACTGCGACTCAGGGAAGGATGTCACAGTAATGAGGCTGCCTCAGCTCGGAAGCACTTTCACTGATGATCAGCTGAGAGCGCCAGGAAGGAGACGCACTCTGCGAGGGGAGAGAAAGTGGGTGTCAGTCTCCGACGAACCTTGTGGAGCAGGCAGCACGGTGGATTTCGAGTCACGCGCTGTGCATTCGCCTGCTCTTTTGCAGGTTTGTGTGAGCTCAGCGGGGAAGTTAGAAGACGTGCATCGGCTTCTGCGGGACTACTTTGACGTGCACAGGGAACTCTCCGCTTGGCTGTTGCCGGTCCTCGTGCTTCTGCTCTATCCAACGCGCTGGGTTAAGAAGGTTAAGTCAACTTCTCCATTAATTGTCTCATTCAAATGAAGGACGGATGCTGCACCGCGCCTCCCTCTGGCCAACCGCATCACTTAACTAGATAATCTGTATGATTGCATAACGCCCCCCCCCCCCCCCCCCCCCCCCCACAAAAACATGCCTCGTGGAATTGTTTGTAGTTCAACTCCTCTTTCACCCTTATCTTATTGTGTCTGGTGATTCGGGAAACCTTTTTTCAGCCTTTAGATTCTGCTGCTAAAAACAGTGACCTTGGTGAATATAGAACTGACATTGAGTCTGCAACCTTTGCACTCTTCTGTTTAGTGTGAATGTTCTTGCACTGTAGCTATACATCTGGATATATTCCCTCTGTCAAATAGGTCAGGCTTTTGTGTTATCACCCACACACAGCAGCGAGGCGGCAGCGCTGAACAACCTCCCCTCTTTTTTGGATGCTGTGCTGCTGTTGTGTTGTGCACATTTGAACGCATGCACTATCCTGTAAATGAACACAAAAACACTAATTACACGAGGGAAGACCCCTTTCATGTAACTCCCCTGAGACATGGAAATACCTTTGAGTATATAGGATGTGCATCAAACATGAGCCAATGACACGTTTTGTTATGATGATCAATGGTTGATATCTATGAAATACTTTAATTACAACCGGGAGGGCACTAGCAGCAACGCAGTGGACCACAATTAACCCCTCTCTCCGTAGGCAATGTGTGCCTTTGAGCCAAACAACTCTGGTACCATCAGCTTTTCTGGATATTTGATGAGTCTGCAGTGAGCAAGCTTTACCTCTCAATGATCCTGATTCTGTTGGACGCTAAAGCCACAGTGTGTTTGAACGCACAGCGACGTGAAGTCAGAGTCAAACCTTCCATGAGAATAACCAGAGGGTATTAAAACCTATGTACATAATTTCATTCTGTCTCTGCTATTTTTCTGGGCGAATGAATGCTTAAATTATTTTAAATTCCTGAATATATTCCTTTTTATAATTTGCAAGACATATCCCTCATTGAACCAAATACCATACAGCTTATAAACTTAAAGAACTCAAAGTGTGTTTATCTCTTTCTGTTTACTTCCTGTTCAAGGCCCGCCCTCTTGCAGGAAGGTGTGAGCAGTTAGGAGGGGACACTTGCTGTGCTGCTGGAACAGGCCTTCAGGATCAAACAGGAGGTGGCGGCAGGTCTGCAGTCAGCCCGTGGCTCCGTCCAGGTCAGGCACCGTCCCACAAGCTGCTGGAGAATCTCATACTGACCATCGCAGCCATTGTAATGCAGCTTAGCATGGACTTAAGCATACAAGTCGGTACAGGCGAGTGTTGTCCTTTCGAAATCTGCTAATACATTTCTGTAGCCTCTATTGTCAGAAATATGTTCTCGTTATTACATTACATGTCATTTAGCTGACGCTTTTATCCAAAGCGACTTACAATAAGTGCATTCAACCATAGGGTACAAACTCAGAAGAACAAGAAACAAGAAAGTGCAATTTCCTCAAATAAGCCAATTTACAATTTGCTATAGATGAGTGGCGTTATAGGTACAATTTAAGTGCTACAATTTGTTAGTCTTTTAGTCGAGGTAGAGTCTGAAGAGGTGTGTCTTTAGTTTGCGGCGGAAGATGTGAAGGCTCTCTGCGGTCCTGGTGTCTTCAGAGAGCTCGTTCCACCATTTCGGAGCAAGGACAGCGAAGAGTCGTGATCTAGTCGAGTGTTTTGCTCTCAGTGAGGGAGGGACGAGCAGTTTTGCACATGCGGAGAGTGCGGGTCGGGATGTCGGGTTTGACCATGTCCTGGATGTAAGCTGGACCTGATCCATTCACAGCATGGTAGGTGAGCACCAATGTTTTGAACATGGTCTTTCCGCCCGCAATGACTACTACACCCCCCCCCCCTCAGGTCCTTGGTCGGAGAGTCTTTTCCTGGAAAGAGAAGTAGTTCTGTCTTGTCTGAGTTGATTTTCAGATAGTGGGCGGACATCCACTGAGAGATGTCAGTCAGACAGGCAGAGATCCGTGCCGCCACCTGGGTGTCCGAGGAAGGGAGAGAATAAGTTGGGTGTCATCGGCATAGCTGTGGTAGGAGAAGCCATGCGAGCCAATGACAGCGCCAAGAGAGTTGGTGTAGAGCGAGAAGAGAAGGGGATCCAGGACGGAACCCTGAGGAACTCCCCTAGTAAGAAGACAAGGTCCTGACACAGGAGGGGATTTGCCAGTCCGTCGGGTCGTCAGAGGGCAGAGAGAGTCTAGAGAGGAGGAAAGAGTTGAGAGGAGAGTCTCTGCAGCAGCGTTAGGATGCAAGAGTGAGAAGGAGTCAGTAGAAGGGAGAGCTGATAAAACAGACGAGGCCAGAGAGGAGGAAGAGAGGGAGCGAATGTTGCGACGAACAGGTACAGAGTCAGTCAATGGGGCAGGGTCGTTAGTTATAGACAGTGGGAGAGAGTAAGAGATGAAGAAGTGGTCAGACACATGAAGTGGAGTTACAGAGAGGTTAGTTGTAGAGCAGTTTCTAGTAAAGATGTAGTCAAGGTGATTGCCGGCTTTGTGAGTAGAAGGAGAGGGAATGAGTGACAGAGCGAAAGAAGAAAGTGGGTGTAAGAGGTCAGATGACTTCTCTTTCTGGATGTTGAAGTAACCCAGGAGGATGAGCGGAGGGTCATTTTCAGGGAAGTTGGACAGGAGAATGTCCAGTTCTTCCAAGAAATGACCCAAGGAGCCTGGCGGATGGTAAAGGACAGCAATAGTTAATTGTACAGAGTGAGTAGCTGTTACAGCATGGAATTCGAAATACAGGGGGGTGGATGGTGGAAGAGGGTAAAGAGAAAAGCTCCATTTGGGTGAAACGTTATGTGGATAAAGTGATTGTCTATCTGTTGGGACCCCCTTTTCTCTCAACCTGTCCTCTGTTCTTACTCTTTCTCCTCGCATCTCTTTTGATGTTCAGGACATACACACACACACACACACAAACACACACACACACACACACACACACACACACACACTCATGCCCCATAAACTTAGTTGATTTAAAGACACCTGAGGTTGCAGCTCCTGAGCAAAGCCAACATCAGCTCGGGGACAGTTTGTCTGTACACAGGATGTGTTTAAATAGATGTTACACGCCAACAAATGAGTGCTTGGAGTCATCTTTGATGGAGCAGAATATCAATGTCAGGGTAAGATAAACGCATAAAATATAGCTCAAAAATTGAGGCACAGGCCATAATGTATACAAACACTGAGGTACAAACCGGGAGCATTAACAAATGAAGCAGTGGTATGACTGCTAAATGCTGGCATGGTAAAACTTTCCTCCAAAGCATTATTTGCACGGATTTTATAATAAAATAGATCTAAGTGATTTAACAGATTCACTTTTCTTTGCTTTCATCCTACATGTTTTCTCTTCTAATCCTGCATCCTGTGTGGCAGCTCTTCAGAGTCACAACTTTCGGTCCATCAGAGTGAATGAAAGTACAGTACATGCTTAAAAATGCTTTAGCTGGTGATTAGTATATTATTTGTTGTCTGTGCAGATTAAGTTTATAAGATTGGATTGGTGAAGAGATTTGCCAATATGAGATTGCATTCGAATTGTTTTTTTTTTTCACTGTATGGCAACCTTTTAAACATCCAATGATGTATTTTCTCATCAGACAGTGGCTGAATGTTATTTCGTTAACATCTTATTTCACAGCCGGCTTCCTTGGTGTTTAGGGGTCAGTGGTGAGAGGGGATATTGCCTATTACTCCACAAACCACTGATTTATGATCCAAAAACAAGCCTCAGCCTAATGATCTTGAGGGCCATTTGTTTTGGATGAATTATGTTGTTCTGTGAAACCTTTTATGGAAGCACTGTAGTTGTCAACAGGGAAATAACCCTCATTTCACAGTGGACATCTCCATTATTAATTATTATAGCTTTGGTTGTAGAAATTGTGTTGTGCAAATATTATTATTAGAGTAGACAATAACGCTGATAAAGACGGGGAGTGAGAGTTTTTGCTGGCTCTGTGATGACATCTTAAATTTATCACAGGAAAGAAGAGAGCTACATCACATTACATTAGCTGACGCTTTTATCCAAAGCGACTTTCAATAATTGCATTCAACCATAGGGATACAAACCCAGACGAACAAGAAATAAGAAAGTGCAATTTCATCAAAGAGGCCAATTGCCTCACTGATAAGAGTTCTTATTGCATAAACAACAAAGGGAACCTCCTGATGTAAGATGTTGTACGAGAGGCTGTTTATTGTTTCACAACCTGCTCATCGTGTTCTGTGATCCATTCATCCAGATTTGGCACAGCATTCTTCTGGCTTCCATTAGAGCACCTTGCAAGCACCGATCAGGGCATCTCTGACTCTTTTTCCAATCGGGTCAGGTGCTTCACATAGGTCCTTTCTTTCTTTCCACACCTTTCCTCAAATGTGATGCCACCACTGCCAAGTTGAGCGCTGACATGAGCTCTGCGGATTCAGACTGCGGCAGGAGGTGGCAGAGCTCATGTCAGCCGCAGACCCACGGCTGCAAAGAGCTGTCAAATCAAGGTGGGCAATTGTGCGCTAATGGCGACAGAGTGAGCCGGAATTTAGACCATATACACGCTTGTAAACACCAGATCCAATAAAGAACTTCATGTCATTTAAAGTGAATTCTTGGACTTTATAAAAAAGGTAATACATTCATGTAAATGATGCTTGCATGGAGGAAAAAATAATCTGACAATAGACACAGGGGGTGTAGTTTCAGGGTGTTTAGCTGTTTCTCGGGGGAGTTGGAGCTTACAGAAGCTTACTGAGCATTATGAAGCAAAGTTAGGGGCTAAATCAGAGGTTCTGAAATGAGAAAATGGATGTGAAATGAATTTGGGTGAATAGGTGTGTCAAGGACTCGCCAGAAACAGCTTTTACTTCCCTTTAGGTTAAATTTTCCATACGAGATAAATATAATACATGGTTCTACTAAATCCTAAGCCGACTGCAAACGCCCTCAACCACAACCACAGTCCCCTCACGTTGAGTCAGGTGGTGGCACAGGGGGATACATCATTGTGATGACAGCACATTAGCTGTGGGGTGGTGGTCAAGCATGTGCCATGAAGATAATTGAAAAAGCAGATAAAGTACGTTGCCGCCGCGACTCCCCATCCTGACCGGCGGAAGTCAGCAGAAACCGCGGCGGGTACCCAGACAAGTAACAGCATTTGTGCCTGTGTGTATTTTCTTTAATCAAGGTTTATCAACACTTATGGAGGCTGGAGGCCTCATTGCCAGAGCATTCCCGGGCGACACAAGATCTCTATGGCTGCTTTGCATTCAAAAGTCAAACTACAAGCACAATCCCCCAAAAACGGGTTACTTGTTAAAAGGCTGTGTCATGTATTGCTTTCATTTTACAGATTTGATTTCTTTTAAATCCCCATTGAGGGGTGACAGAGATTGCCTACAACTGATACTGCACAAGACATCCTTGTGGTGCTCATGTTTCGTGCAGGTATTTGAAATTCATCTAATTATCAAAGTTCTACTTTATTTTAAACATAAGCAAGAGTATTGACATGTCAGTATTTATCTTCTCCATACTTAAATATATTTAAGACTATACAGTTTGTCAGTCTGCTCCTTGTAATTCAAAAATACAGACATTATTTCTACCGTTTTCATTCTGCCCAGACCAAATATGATAATCTATGAGTCACTAATTATTATCCCACGTCCAGCCTAACCCTCTAAAGCTGGGCATTTTAGTCACAACTAGCTCAACTCTTGATGCCAGAGGCTGACAAAAGCTTTTAGTCAAGTTGTTTACTAATCCATCAGAAAAATTCACTCAATTGGCAGGAATATGCAAAATGAGTCATGTAGTTTATTTATGGTGTAAACAGGGGAAAAAGACGGATTATGTATGAAACAGGTAGACTAATAACCATATGGGGATATATGCATATTGTCTCTAGCTATCCAGGGGGCTCCTTGCTGATTTACTCTCTAAATCTGCCGTGTCTTTTTCTGAGGGTCTCTCCCTCAGAACATAGAGGGACCAGTAAATCTGGCATCCTCCAAGCCTTTTGTTTAAAGCATCACAAAAAATACCACAATGCTTGAAGTGTCAGATTGCAAGAAAATCTGCAAGAAAATCGAGCCATTTCTTAAAGCTCATCTATTTCAAAATTAGCGGCCCTGTTGTCCGGACTATGTCTCACCAATTATTTGTCAACATTTTCCAAATTGTCTGCCAGCGCTGAGGTATGATTGTGATTGCTCTACTCCAGCACACCTGGATAGCTAAATACATTCGTAGCAGTAGGGGTGAGGTTTTTATTCCATGCAAACAAACACACACAAACTATAATGTCCTGATATTCACCTCATTGAACAAATCCCTTGAATTGAGGGAAAAAAAGTCAATTGAATTGAGATCATGATGTTTGATATGCAAAGGAAAATTGTGATGAGACGTTGCCGTGTCTTATGTTACAATAAAGGCAACGTTATATTTCACACAGTGTGAGCTTGCAGCTTTGATCTGAGACGTTAGTTGTGTTAGTTGTACTATGTATTACCATTATGGTAAACAAGCAGGTAGCTTCCTATAATAAACAGCTTTTAGTCCAGCCTCTCTTTGTGAAAACCACCAGCTAGCTGAATAACTATCAATGGCTGTGAGTCTTAAATGCAAACGGAGCAGGAGTCTTAGACAGATTCCATACGACCGATGTGAGCTACAGCTCCGCCTTGCTACCACAAAGCTAATAAGTCTTAGGATAAGCTATAGGAACTCATCCAGGAAGCCCCGTATAGCAGGTCTGCTGTCAATCAAGCTGCTGTTGACCTCCATCCCAATCTCACTGCCAACTGAAGATACTTTACTCGCAGCTCTAGTAAAAATATTTCATACCTTTCCCCACTTTGTGTAGACGTCTTTGAGGCTCCAGCGCTTGTTAAATTGCAGACAAATAAAGTAAAGTTGCAGTAAAGGTGCAGCGGATTTCTCCAGTGAATAAAAGCAGGAGAAAACTGCTCTATGAATCATTGCTTATCAGCTGCTCTTAGTGTAAGGGAGCCGTTGTTAGCTCTATTTTAAGTATAGGATAAAAAAATGAGAATAGATGGTATTAGAGGAGAGGAGAGCAAATACATATTTGATGAGGGTTGTGAATATCCGCGGCCAGACAGACGAGACGTCAGAAAAAAGAGATTAATTAATTATCCCTCAATACAAGAAGGTGTCTCTTCCACCACATACACTGGCAATTACTTATATTGAAATATTTCCCTTTTTGGCAGGATGTTCTCAGCTACAAATTAACTGATGAGAGATGACGAGGGCATCGAATTGCAGCTCATTGCTTCTCTTTGGAACCGGGTGCTTGTCTGTGCATGATGCAATTGAGTTCCAGAAAGGCATAAAGTCGACTAATCCCGCCTTGACAAGGAGAAGCCTCAAAGGGACACCGGGCATGTCTGCAGGAAGCTGGCTCAATGGCGTGCGACATAAACTGGAAAGGAGCTCCTTGTTACTGCCCCAACTATACCAAAGCAATAGCTAGAATCAAACTTTTAAAATCAAAAAGCATGCTAGTTAGAGCTAGTGTTTCCGTTTCATCACAAGCTTTATCCATATCATATTACATGAGACAACAGCTAATTAAACCATCTCTTTTTAACTCAATCACTCTTTGAAAATAAGAGAAATAATCTTGTGAGTTGAAGTGCAATACCCTTTGTGAAATGTTTGAAAACTTGAATCAGTTGATGGCATATTATTTTCCTTTCATTTAGCCTACCACTTCACTTTATCTCACTCGTATTTTTTACAAAATTTGTCTCTTGAGATGAGAAAACTTTTGTTATGAGATTAGGACCATATTTAAATATTTACATTTGAATAATTTTATTACATACCTACACCTGTGGTTGTATTACCCTCTTGATTATATGTACCTTGTGGCCTATTTGAAACAGTGCCCTACACACCCAAGTGGTGGGAGGTTAACAAAACAATAACAAAACAGCTCTTACACCGAATTTCAAGAACACCTGCACGAAGGATTAAATCTCTATTATTCGAAGTGTAAATTATTGGTTGAAGGGAATGTATTGTGAAGCAGTGATTCAGTCACGATTGACCGCTGGTGCTTCTGAACAAAAATCCTGCCGAAACCCGGGATCGAACCAGGGACCTTTAGATCTTCAGTCTAACGCTCTCCCAACTGAGCTATTTCGGCCATCTGCTAAGCTTTAGCATCACATTAAGACACATTACGGTCTTCTACAGCTATCCATTATAACCCTTGGCTTCACTGAGCTTTATGATATGTAGTATGTAATATATAACCGTTGTTAGTCCAGGAGTAAGGAAATTCTCAGGATTCACAGAGAAACATATTAAAGTGCAAACAAAAGACAAAGTTAAAATAAGATACAACTGTTATGTGTATTCTATGAATAATATTCTATGCAGTATCTCAGGTTGGTTATTTATTTATTATTTATTTTGTATAAAAAACAATGCCGCTCTCGGCCAAATAAAGATTGGCCAGTACGGGTATCGAACCCGCGACCTTGGCGTTATTAGCACCACGCTCTAACCAACTGAGCTAACCGGCCACGCCTGTTCTCTCAAAATGACGTAATATAATTCGTGGACAAAACCTACTGAACAGAAAGTAAAACTTTACTAAAAGTTTACAGAGAAAACGCCTGTTCGCTGACGGTAAGGTCGCATTGTTTTCACGTTGAAATGCTTTTTATTTTATCTTTAAACAAGCCAATAATTTGGCTAGAGGGAAATGCAAATGTATATCATAGTGTGATTGCGTTTAGAACGTATATTTACCATCGCCGTGTGTTTTGTTTGGTTATAGCTCAATATACTTAAGAATAAAGGAACAGCACACAAACAAGAGTGTACTGAAACTAGCGACATGAATTGAGACTTGAAAAAGCATAATGTACAAAATGAACTGACGTCCGACAAAGAAGACCAACACAGGTGATTCGTTGAGTAAAAATGTCCCTGGACCACAGCAATTCAAATCATTACCAAGAAACAGGTGTGGACCTGAGCCTGCTCCGACTATGTACAAATAGAGTACAAATAACCAGACACACAAGGCCAAGGTTCACTATAGCACCTTTCAACAACAAAGCTGCCAGAAGTGCGGTAACTAAAGCATTGGTGCACACCACAGAAAAAGTCAACTAATTTCTACAACTAATTTCAAATTTTACCCCTTGTCCAGTCACATTTTAAAATCAGGATGTCACTGAAGTTCTCCGGCTGGGCGGTGGTTGACGATGGCGCTTCTTCCCCTGGCGTGGAGCTGGAGGAGTCCCAGACACCGCAAAACCGGGGCGTCTACACCATGTTCCACGGGACCAGCACTGCCAGTGCGCGGCTCATCCTCGCAGGCGGTTTCAGGCAGTCATCGGCTGGCATGTTGGGAAAGGGCGTGTACGTCAGCCGTGATAAGAAAAAGGCTGCTCATTATCCGTTGAACAGTCCCGTGACGGACCGCGTGGTCCTTAAGGTACGTGTGCGTGTCGGCCGCGTCAAGCGCATTGACCAGGACAACCATCCCATGCAGTACACCTGGCAAACAAATGGCTACGACACCGCCTGGGTGCCCCCCAGGTGCGGCCTCAGAGCCGTGCGCAGCGGCCTGGAGGAGGATTGTGTGTTCGACCCCAAAAGAGTGCAGGTGGTGGGCATCGCAAAGGCCCCAAGCACCGCCGTGCAGCAGGAACTTCAAGAGGTTCTTTCAAAAAGATCTCGACAAGCGGGACAAGGAGGCGACGGTGTCGCCCACGTGTGCTCACTGTGTAAGAGGGCGACCCAGCAGGGCGCTCCACACATCAAGCAACGGTGCTGGGAGTGTGGAAAAAACATCTGCATTTTCATGTCCAAGCATGTCTGTCGAGCCAAAGTGGGGGAAGATGATGTAGATTAATACAATTATAAATTAAGGATGATATCAGGCTCATGTTTAAATAGGTCAGGCTGCTGGACATGTATTGGGGATCTTTGTTAATGCTACAAATTATTATTCATAATTGACAATAGTGTCTAGTAAACCATAGCTCTTATTTGGATGTTGCGTGTGTACAGACTGTAAAGCCTTCTGAGGCTCATTTGTGATTTGGGGCTATACAAAATAAAATTAATTATTTCTTTCTTGAGCATGCATTATGATTATGTGCATTGCAAAATCACATATTCGCTGACTGAGAGTGGACATCGTTGTTTTAGATTTTGAAATGTTTAACTGAATAGACATAATACTACTAATACTACCCTTTTCTTTCCATGCACCATGTAAGTGCAACCTCCTCTAAGATAAAGCAGCAAGCACTTAAGGTTCTTAAAGTGTCAGCAGTAATTTGATGTAAATTTTCCAGACACCAGAGTAAAAAGCACATCATGGTCTCAGTTGTGGTTCAGCTGAAGACTGAACAGATAAACAGACATTGGGCATGGCCTCATTGTCCTTGATGGCCTCTCCCATAATTAATTCTTTATTTTTTTTATTATTAAAAAATAATAATATTTTATTGTGTATTCTATGAAGTATATAGTCTATGCAGTATCTCAGGTTCGCTATAATTAATTGATTTTGTTTTTGTCCTTTATAACAACTCAAATAAAGTTTAAAAAAAGACTGGCCAGTACGGGTATCGAACCCGCGACCTTGGCGTTATTAGCACCACGCTCTAACCAACTGAGCTAACCGGCCATGAATTACTTTATTCCATTATTAATCTTATATGCATAGTAGACAGGAGGAAATACATGGATATGACATCTGAATGCAGAACAGAAAGTAAAAGTTGTTTAACTCATATCGGGAAAACCGCCGCTCGCTGAAGGTAAGTTCAAGCCTTAACGTCATTATAAATCATTAGATTTGATAGTCACGTTTAACATGAGCAGTACAATACTTTTTTACTTTGAAAATGTCGATATAGAAGTCAGTCAACGTGCGTTGAAAAGCTGTGTCAGTGCCGTTTGTATTTTTACATGGTTTTGCCACCGTACTATTGAACCTAAAGTCCGAACCTCCCAAATCTCTTTCCAACTTGGCCAGACGCTACATTCTAACAGGCTAATTTAATTTACTTTTATTTTAATTTTTACGCCTAACAGGGTGATTTGATTTATGCTGCCACGCAACCCTCGTCCTGACGCGATGTCGCTGCCCTTCTTCGGCTGGGAGGTGACTTACGACGACGACTCTCCCCGCGCGGAGCTGTCCGCGTCCCAGGAGCCCGAAGACAGCGGCGTCTACACCATGTACCACGGGACCGGCGTCGCCACCGCACGGCTCATCATCGCCAACGGCTTCCAGCAGTCGTCGGCTGGCATGCTGGGACCGGGGGTGTACGTCAGTCGGGACGAGAAGAAAGCGCAGCGTTATCCGTTGCAAAGCAACCCCTCGGACCGCGTGGTGCTTGAGCTGCGCGTGCGCGTGGGCCGCGTCAAGCGCATCGACAGGGACAACCATCCCATGCAGTACAGCTGGAGCGCGCAGGGCTACGACACCGCCTGGGTGCCCCCCAACTGCGGCATGGCAGCCGTGCCCAGTGGCCTAGAGGAGGATTGTGTGTTTGACCCCAAAAGGGTGACGGTGGTGGGCATCGCAAAGGCACCAAACGCCGAGCTGACCGTGCTTCGGCAGCTGGTGGCTGATGGTCTGAGAAATACCAGCAGAGGAGATGGTGGTGCGACCTCCCTTCTGGGTGGTGCTGTGGATGTGTGTTCACTGTGTCAGAGGAAGGCGAAGCAGGGTTCTCCACACATTAAGCAGCCGTGTTGGGGCTGCGGGCAAAACATCTGTAGTCTCATGATCCAGCACGTCTGCCGGGCGAAGGCCTGAAGACAGGTGGAATGAGGATCAACGCATGTATGTATGGTCTTCTAACGGGGTGGAGGAGGAATGGATTGAAAATGAAACCCAAGTTAAAGAGTAAAAATCCACAGCTCAGGGTGTAATTCTACTTTAGATTTTATTTTCAACATAATTGGACTTCTGTTACTTTCCTTTTCACGAATGAACAATCAATGAGCTGCATTTGGTACTGTACGTTAGGCTAGTGATTTTCATACTGTAATGATCCACCTTCTATTCCATTTTTGTTCTACAGACATACTAACATGCGTTAGAATGCAATCAAAATGAAATATTTCGGAATCTGGACATTTATTATTTTTTCATTATTATGCATTATTTATGTGAAATAAATGAGACATGATGTGCAATTTTCTAAATAATCTAAATCTGAATGATTTCAAATGGAATAATGATTGAACCCCAATAATCTACTATAAGACCCATAATACCCAGTTTGATATGATTTCTTATGAGCTAAACAGAACCATAAAGTTCATGCATAATCCCGTTAAACTGCTTGATTTCATGGTGATGCCTTCGTAGTCTTGCAAATCTCATGATGAAGAGGCCAGCAGGGAATGGAACTCTAGCAGTCTTTTATCTCCATTCTTTTTGGCATGCTGCAAAAGGACCTACAAAGAAAGATGAGAAAATATGTTTACCATCACTGTTATTCAGGGAGTGAAAAAATAAAAACTTACAACATGAGAATTCAAAGCCGACTGGTTTCAGTTTCATGCACTTTTTGCAAAGAAGTCATGTTGGGAAATATACATTTCAAATGAATAAATATTTCCCCCAAAAGGGATTTAATCCAAAGCCAGTGTAGCTATGAGGCAGCGGAGTGCTCACATTCATTAGATCCTGGTCGTTTTTGGCATGCAGGTGTCTGAGGAGGTACCAGCTGGACACCTGCACCACTGTCACAGGGAGGTCTTGAGAGTAAGCCAACCTCTCCAACACACGCCTTGTGTCCCTGCAGAAACGGGCAAAGGTATTACATGAGCAGTGTTACTTGTAAACCTAAATCCCTCCACTCTCATTCTTGAGATGTCTCATACACACCGAATTTAGAAGGGCAGTTTGTAAATTAGATATTTAGGAAACGTGTGCGTATTGCAAATTGGGCTGTGTTAATGTGGATGATTTGGACAATTTGCTCTTCAATAAAAATGGAATGGCATCAATGTTATTCAGCTGGTCTGGGTTTGAAATCCTCTCTGAATCTATAACCATTTCCTCTTTATTATTATCTATGATAAAATGAAAGTGTCTCTAGCATGAAAAACAGAAGGGGGCAAAAATCTGCAGTTTCAGTTGTGTAAAAATTCATTTAGTCACTTCAGATTCTAAGCCATTGGGACGAAACCCCTGACACATCCACGTGCATGTTGATATCAGCTGCTACAGTTGAAACAACTCGGTGAGAAAGAATCACTGACCTGGCAGCCATCTTGTTCACGTACTGGAGCAGGGCCTGAAAGAGGAGGGCCATGGGAGACGACCCTAGCTTCAAGACTTCTGTGGTGGCTTCTAATATCATGTCCGTCCACTCATTATCTGGAACGCCCGCCTGATAGGTCAGAATTTAGAGGTTAGAATAAAAAACCCTCAGGTAAATCACAAAGGTCACAAAGCTACTTGTCCTGTTTGTATCTTTGCTGGATATTTACCCGTCTTTCATCTCCCCAACTTACTTTCTGCTGACTGACGGGGGCTGTTGATGTCTGTGATAGTTGTGCTCCAATAGCTGTTCTTTATCACCTTCAACTAGGAACATTTGTGATCTAGAATCAGATTACAGCAACTCACCATGCAGTTTCCCAGGGCCAGCAGCGCGAGTCGAAGCAGGCTGGCCACCTGGCTGCTGTGCAGGCCGAGCTGCGAGGCCAGCTGCAGACTCTGCCTGTAAGCGATGACCGCCTGGACCAGCAAGCCCTGGCTACGAAACACCTCAGCCAGCCACTGGGAGGGGGAGAACAGGACGGTGAGAGTAGTTTAGAATATGAAATGACACTTCAAGCCTCGCTATGTTAACGGTCTGTACGACCAATGTGGTTTGGCACGGTTTAAAATGTTAACTTTAAACAACTGAAGTGACAAGTTAAGTCAAAGCTCGTTATTACGCCACTGAAATCAAATACTGGTAGGGCAATGAAACCTATTTGAGTGTCCACTCACATGCCACGCCCCAACGTTGGTGGGGTTCATCATCACTGTGTTTTGGAGTTGCTCCAGCACAGGGTCTGGGAGCACAGTACCACCACCGGCCAGTAGGAGGCGCTGACACTGCACCTGTCTCAGTGACAGCATCACTTCTGGGTGTTCCGGGGAAACGTTCAGCACCTGGACAAAGCGGACGGAGCAGGAGGAACCCATGAAGTGCTCCACCGTGGACATTCTGTGCACATTACCAGTCCAGCCTTTTCTACAATTATATAAATCACGTAACGGTATCGAGGTTGCTCGTGGACGTGTGTGCTTATTGCCCACCTGTGAACAGAGGGCTTCAGCTTGCTCCAGCTGTCCCCCCCGCATGAGACCAGTCACGGCCTGTTTTAGTACCCAGCCTTCCAGAGCTTGGGCCAGAGGGCGCTCAATCTCCTCCACGTTGTGCACTGCGATGGAGAAAAAGTTGAGTACACACTCAAACACACAAAATAGTTAACCCCTAGTAAAACTGTGCATACCTTTCTCAGAAACCACTGACATGAGTGTTTGCTCCAGTCCTCGCCTGCTGGGAGCAGAACCGGAAAGATAACAGGAAGTATTTTCTGTGTGACAGGCAGCCATAAGTCCCGCCCATGTTGCTGGATCATCTGAAAGCAGAAGGTTAGTGGGGAGACTCTGGTCACTTGGACCTTTCACAGTATTGCTTTGTGTAAGGTAGTTTTACATTTATAGAATATTGGGTAGACATGAACAAGATTGTCAGTGGCACAAAAGCGTAAATCATCAATTTACTTAATATAGCAATACACTCCTCACATACACATTACTGCACTAGAATACATCTAAATAAGAGAATTTACACAAATGTATTTCCTAGTAGTGACTTTCTTTTCCCTTTCCAACGATTTCCAACGTTTCCAATCGTTTCCAACAATAAGTGTGTGGTTGTTTGTGAGGAAGCGTAAGGCCTTTATGTGTGTTTTTACCAGGACAGAGCAACACAGCTCTCTGCATTGTCTTCAGCGCATTCCTGTGACTGTCCTCTCCAGAGTGTCTCCCGTTAGCTAGCTGGTTCACGCCACTGTACAACAGCGCCCTCTGCAGGAGACCACAGTTACATCAGATCAGTGTCATACAAACGCTGTGGCAAATACAACGATGTCAGTATTGGGCTCTTAATTAGGGCGAATAGTTTGGATCAGTACCAACAGATTGTCGTCTAGAGTTTGATATGGAGTGGCGCTGAGGGCAAAGAACATGTAGAAAACAAAGAGCACAACAGAAGAAAAGGACATAAAGCCCAGTTAAGCATAAATATACAGCCACTCTTACCTTTCCTTGGGTCATACTGGAGAGACAGGCAACGTGACCGGCTATCGCGCCACCCTGGAATACACAGCCGACCAAATCATGAATTCCTCCTCTCGAACCACGTAGCAGCACTGTGTGTGCTAATAAAATAGATTTCTGGTGTTTGTGCTTGGGTTGTGTGTAATGTTTGTGTGTGTGCGTATGTAGCATTACATTAGCCTTCTTGGGGTGGTATTGTGGTACCAGCCTGGACAGCAGGGCCCATAGAGATGGGTTTCCAGGATTGCTGTAAATAAGACAGATGGAACCCTTGTACAAGTTGTAATTCATAAAAAGTATTTTTCCCATAAAACAACGGATGATGTTGCTTCACTGTCTGGGGCACTGTTGCGTCTGTTGATACGTTTTACAGTACTTATCAGCAGGTTTGTAGCTAAGCACTTTTGCTTCTGCACAAATGCAACAGTGAAGATACCTGCATACTACATTGTGGTCAGCCATCATTGAAAATTCAATAGAAATCACTGTAACTCAGTTAATTCTTCAACCATATACTTAACTTTAATATTCCTGATTTAAATCCAGAACTGACCCACAACCCATGATAATAAACAGAGTGATACACGCAATACTCCACAAAATTGGAAAATGTTAGAACAAGGTGCAAAAGGCATCAGAAATATGGACTTCAGTGTCATACGGGAAGTTTAATCACACCTGTGTACAGCTCTGGAAGCCTCTCTTTGCACGGCGCTGTAGTTGCCCTGCAGGGCGAGCAAGGCACAGGTGAGGAGGCATCGCTGCTCAACAACCTTCACAGAGCCTGGACCGAGCTTAAGCAACTCGGTCAGAGCAGCTGCAGCTAGTGTAGCGTCACTGTGGACTAACCCCAGGGCACATAAACACAGCAGAGACTCGGAGATTGGCTCCTTTAACATCGAGCTATTGAGGCAGAAAGCACAGAAATACATACTTTCAGCTTTTAGGCAAATGTTGTACAAGTACAATTCTGACAGAACCACTTGTACGATCCGTACACCCACAACGTGGACTTACCATTTAAACAGCAGAGTCTTGGCTGAGTCTTGGTTACCCTGCCGGTGCTGAAGCAGAGCCAGGGCTGTCAATATGTAAGCCTTCTCCTTCTCAGTGGAAGCCACAGCCAAGGCACGTTCATAGGCTGCAATAGACACACAGGAAGGTGTTACATTCACTTCGGCGGGTCAGCGCGTATAGAATCTCATATCTCGTACGTCTCCTAATCCAAACCATTGATGCTCTCTGGAATGAGTCCTGCCCTGCTGTAGGCGAGAGCCAGCCCAGCCAGATCGCTGAGCTCTTGCAGTGGAGTGGAATTATAAACACACACTGCCTCCTCTGACAGACCTGCGGTGCTGTGAAAAGACACAGTTGGACACGCAACACATGGAGTTAGGGGTATTCTATTAGTATTATCAAAGAAGGAGTACATGGTAATAAGATAAGAAAGCATGGTTGTTACCACAAAGCACGTCCATAGCAGCCCAGAGCAAAGGCCAGCTCCTCGGTTGAGGACATGGCCGTCAGCAGTTCCACAGCTCTGACGAAAGAAAGACCATATGAATACAAAGCACAAGGCCTCAAATGTGAGCCTTTGGAGTCAGATGCCGCAATTCAAGCAAACACCTTTTGTAAGCCTTTAGGGCCGATCTCTTTAGGTGCAGATGCTCATTCAGGTAACCAAGCATGATGAAGGCAAAGGGGTCAGACTGGATCCTCTCTGGGAGGCAAAAGAAACTTCATGTCACAAAAAACATCAGGCTGTCATCGCAAATTACACAAATCCAACCAAGGGATCTGTGGATCCTGGCCGTACCCGTGTACTTGGTGAGCGACACCTGAGCAGCAGAAATGGCATTCATCTGGACTATGTTGTAGCGGTAAAGTTCAGAGTCTCGGTTGCTCCTATCCAGCAGGGTGGAACACACCCAGTAGGCATAACCTTTCACTCCCTCCATCTGCCGGGGGAAAGAGGAGAGGTGTACAGGGGGAAAACAGAGAAATGCACTATACATATTGCTTAAACTCCTGGTCACTTTCTTGTAGTAGCAAAAGGGGAATAGCTGAACATTAAGCAGATTTACAAAGACAGTTTGAGCGATTAAAAGGTCATATGCCAGCTAATGAGTTAGAATTACAAAAGCAACCCCAGTGGGTTTAGGAGGTCACGTACATGCGTGCTGAGTTCAGTGGTG